GCCTCAACTACAGACATGGTGCTGCTTCGCAAAGCAAAAGAGCTTCACAGTGTCATCTGACAGAGTGGAGGTGCAGAGGTAGCCCATTTCCTCTCAGTTTTAGGTTAACATATTTTGTTTTAAAAAAAATCGATACCAGGAACTTATAGATCGATATTATGTCAGGCAGCCGAAAATCACCTAATATCACTAAAACACCCCTAATTTTAGGTCACCATATTGCTGTGATAGCACGTCACTGATGTCAATACCTTATAAGCACAAACACTGCTTTTCAAAAATCCTTAGGATAACATTTATGGTGCATGTTTTTTCTACAACTAATCTACAAAAAGTAACTTTCGTTATATTTTGAAATTTACTAATAATCCTTGATTGGTGGTGTAAGTAGTAAAAATAAAGATCCACACAATACAGATTGTTTTAGGGCTTTCAAATTTCCTTATTTAAAATTTTTCATTGTTAAAATAAGTTTGATTTGTTATCCTGATGAAAATCTTTTTACAATAATGTTAAGAGATATAATAAATGCTCAACAATATTTGAATTCATACAAATACAAACAAATTTTGGGGGTTTTTGTTGAGTTTTTGCGGCACTAGTGGTTCTTCTTTTCGACAGGAAAGGGGGCATGAGAAAGGTCAGATTCGAACCCGGGTCGGCTGCCATGACGACTAGAGCCTCCAATCATGGGTTGCGCGCACTAACCGCTGTGCAACCTGCACGCCCGAATACAAGCAAATATAATAAAGTATTATTAAAAGCAGTTTAGCTGTTGTTGGACTGGACCCCACCCAGTATGGTTGGTTTTGGTGTCATTAGCCCAGTAAATGAGTTCTAACCAGTACTTACTCCTTCTTCACTCTTGTTTCAGTTTAAAATGATTCATCATCTCTCTTTGAGAAGCTCCTATTTGTAATAAATACCTTTCTCTTTAAAATCATACATATAAACTTTAGGCTCATACCTTAACAATCAATACGTATGATAAAACTGAGTTATAGCTGCACAAGTTTTCTAATTGCAATGTTTGGAAGCCTGCTGCTGTCTCTGCTGTAGGTTTGCATGAACAGCAGAGACAAGGACAGGAACTAACCTGCTATTTAATGCATTCATACGTGTCTAAGTCTTCTCTCCACGGTATAGGGAGGTAAGGACAAAACAAAAGCTCAGATAAGACGGTGAACTTTCTCTCAGCTGTCGAATAGATTGTGCTTTAGGAAAGGATGCAAGTACAGAGTCTTATCAGGCAATTGTATACTATAACCTGTGGAGCTTTTTGAGAACTAGAGGAGGCAAATTTATGGACGACATCTTTGACTTTATTGAGAATTTGGTCAAATTAATACAGTTTCAGCGGGTAAAGTGAAAAGGAGAAAGGTAAACAGGTCGAAAAGCTAAGCAACCTGTCAATTTTATTTGTGTAGAACAAACAGCAAATATTGACCAAGTGCTTTACAGCATGATAATGTAATAAACACGCTAGTACATGACTGACTTTCCCTGATCAATGTTAACTCGTTTGAAAAAACGAACTGGTTCATGTGTGGGTTCCAGCTTCACCAGGTCAACTCTGAGCGAGAATTGTTTTGGTTTTAGTTTACTTCTTGCTCCAGCTAAGCTTCCACAACACACCACTATGAAGGTGACAAATTCATCAGTGATATGACAGTGGGAGGAGTGAGTTGGAGGTGTGGGGCGAGGCGGGCTTCTATAAGCCCGTTATAAACGAGGAGCAGCGGACTGCTAGATAGCACTTTGCATTCATATATGAATATTTATCCCAGAGGCTGGCATTGGAACGGATGAGCTCGCATGGGAGAAAGAACAAGCCATCTATCTCACTCTTTCCCAATTTCTAAGCCTCATTCTTTACTTTCATACATCTCCTTCACTTGCAATCACCATTTCAATGCCTCTCTTTTCTCTTTTGCATTTTCCACCCACATTTTCCCTCTAGGCTTCCCCTATTTTTCTTGATATCATCCGATCTATTGCTCCTCTCCTTAAAAAAAAGAAGAAGCCACCCCCTCCAATCTCTTCTCTTCACAGCGCTGATGCATGGAGAGAGATGGAGCAGGAAAAAAAAAAGGAAAACGCGTGTGATTAATGTTGTTGAGAAAAAAGATAAATAATCACACGAGACTGGGGGCTGGTAGTTGGCCTTAGGGGAGTAAATATGGAGAGTTTTATAGCTGCTCACTTGGGAGCAAAGGGAGGCAGAGGAGGAGGAGACTGGAGAGGAATACGGCGACAGCAGATCCATTCAAGTATATTAGCCACCCCCCACCACCCACCCCACATACACAATAACCTCTTCGTCTATTCTATAGCGCTACTGTCTTTCATCATCAGTGCTGAGCCCCATCCCAGTGACAGCACAAACACACACAAGGTGCCACACAAAGCCATGGATGCAAGAACGCCTTCAACACACCCTCACAACCAGCCCCATGCTTCTTTCACAGGCCAGACCCACTGTATGTGTTTGATGGGGCCGATACATACGGCGTGTGATGTGGCTGACATCCACCTTACCCACCCCACCCCTTCCACCCACCTACCCCTCCAGTCCCCACCCTCCCAAACTCATCCTGCTTTTAAGCCCTCATACTCCGGTGGCTGCTTGTCCCCTGGAGTAGATTGCATCTTTTATTTATCATTGGCTCTTCCTCTGCTTTATCTTTTCCCAGCTGGTGAAAAAAAATAGTAAATTCTGGGGCAAAAATTGCAATCAGCATAACATGCCCTCCTCCCTGCTGTGTTCTCGCCTGTCACTCTCCGCTCCCTGTGAGCATGCGGGATGGGACTGACAGCCCGTACAGAGGAAGACAAGCACACATGTGTGCACAGCCTCGCTGTTTCCCCCCTACACACAGTCCTAGAAAGTGAGGAGCGACACCAATAGCCCCCCCAAACAGAGATGCACCGATCAGGCTACATACCGATACCGATTATCTCTGGGGTTTGAACTGCTTTTTCTGCATGTTTAATAATAAAAGGAGGAAAGATTTGGTATTCTCACAATGTCTGTAGTGGAAAAGTATAGATTTACAAGTAACTAATTAAAGCATACATCTTTAACCTAACTTAAAAAAAAGTAGATCAAAGTGAATGCAAATATTTGATGGGTTTATAAACCCATCTGGAGTTCAAATGGGTTTTTAAAAGAAGGGATAAAAAGTCAGAAGAGGTCTGTCAATTACTAATTGAAAGACGTTTTTAAAAAAAAAAACTCTGATATCTGAATGATCCACTTGAGTGTCTAATGCTTTTTCCTCTTGACTGGAGTATCTGACTGGCTTTAGACTAAAAAAATTAAAAGATAACAGAATGCAAACATATATATTATTGCCCAGGAACATCGCCTTCGGAAACCTCTTTGAGTTGCAATAATAAATGATTAATTAGCTATTACCACCATCGTGTTTCTTCCTATTCAAATTTATAGCACTAAACAAATCACTCGGTTTTCTCTGAATGATCTATTCAAATTTCAGCCTATTCCATCGTCCCTAAATCTGAATACTGCAATACATGGAACAGCATAGAGGTGGTAGTTTAGTCTACAGGAAAAGGAAAGAAGTAGGGTTGTTTTTTGTTTATACATCTGCAGTTAGACTTTATTGGGGTTTTACTTAACAAATGAATGGGGCATTAAAATACACATTGGTAGCTGATGCATTTAAAGAGCAAAATATGTATATTTAATACAAACCAAAAATCTTTTTATCCTTTCAATCAGGAAAAAAAAAAGTCTGCTTCCAATCTCTGGATGACTGATTGGTGGATCACAACTGCAAGTGACCTCCTTACCCTCTTTCTGACTACTTATCCAAAACACACACTTATCTACTTAGTGACGCCTCATACTTTTTATTTTACTCTGGGCCGAGTGTTTAGCTTCCTCAAGCCCAAATAAAGAGTGAGCACATAAATGAGCCTAATGCTGGGGAATCTGGTAAACAGGCCAGAGAGAAAGAGAGAGAGAGGGGTGAGAGGAGGGAGGGCTGCCTGCCTGTCTGTCTGCTCCATGGCTACTATTGTGCACTGCACATTCTCTGAGCCCACAAGAGCTGAAGCCATCTCCACAGATTCTTTAGGGGGAGATAGGAAGCCAAGAAGTGAGATAGAGAAGGGGTGGGGGACAGAGGGATGGAGATGGTAAGGGAGGCAGGGAGAGAGGAAGATCATGCATAAAATCTTGTTTACAGAATGCATTAAGATTCAGATGAACTGGGGAGGGTAATGGGATTAGAATCCTGAACTGCTTCCAAGGGTGGGGAGTCAGATTGACAGCTGAGTCTATTGCACTGACGAATGTAGTGAAATATTCGGGCTCTGGCAAAGACAAGCCAGGCAGAGGAAATCAGAGGGGGGTTTACTGAGCCTGGAGCACCTATGTTTACACCCGACTCTACCACAAATAATGCAGCTGAAAGACAAAAAAACAAAACATGTTGTCTGTTTAGGTGCACACACCTTAGGCTTCAGATAAAAAGATTAATAAATAAAAGGTTTCAGTGTCTCATAAAGGTGTTTGTCAAACAAAATAGAAGCACTGTGGCTTTAAATCGCCGTCCCTCCCCAGTCTTTCTAAATATCTGTCTATTTAGCCAGCGGTGAAAAGATATAGGGGGCTTTTGTCTCCATCCCCATTGGTGGGGGCATGGAGAGCTGGAAAGACACAAAAATAGGAACAAAGTCCTGAGCTTCCAATTGGAATAGCTCGGGGGGCCATTCAATGCGCACAGCTCAGTGGTTAAAAACAAGAAGAAGTGGGCTAAAATTACGGGCTTATCTGGAAAATAAAGGTCTATTCTCGCACAGCTATAGGGGAGATTGCTGTGGAAATACCCTGCATTGTTTGGAATAGGCACCGCTGTAGAAAAGAAACACAATCCCTGTGTAGGTTCACGGGAAAACGCAAACAGGGAGACGCGTTTTGGTCATTTACAAGCAGCTCTCGGTGCGTTATTGTGACGCTTTGGTCCACTCACCGACTTGCAATACGTTGTCCACCCAGCCGCCCTCCAGCAGAGTGACACCCCGCAGAAAAGGCAGCTGGGTCTCGTCATTATTGTCCCCGCTAGATCCACTTTCCTCTCCTCCGGCGTTGAAAGAAGAGTACATACAGATCTCCTTCTCACTCCTCGGGAATGACCAGTAAACGATCCTGCGCTGGACAGGCTCCGGGATCCGCTCGAAGCGCTCCTCCACCCGCTGGAACGGCCACTTTTCCGCCACTCTCCGCGCCGCGATATCGAGCAGCGACTCGGGGTTGTGCGTTTTCCCGTTCCCGGACGCTCCCGGAGCGGAGCCGCACGGGACTCCTCCAGCCCGCTGCCCCTGCCTGCATACCGGGTTGTATCCGGGCCGGCAGCAGAGCCGCTTGGCTGGGGGCTGCTGGACTCGCTCGGCCATGATCGCACCGCTTCCAACCTGAAGCGCAGTTCCTCTCCGATCATATAAACGGGATAAGGAAGAGAAAGGGGCAAATCTCGAACCGATTGTTTGCCGTACATGGAGAGGCAGCCCTTATTTGGTGAGGGGGGCGGAGCCTGTGAGTTCCGTGAAGTCTTTGTGTTGTCAGAGTAACGAGGATTGGCGGGGCTCTGGAAGACAGCCAGCGCACGAGTGGCGCTATAAAAGGAACTGGAGGCGGAATTCCCGAACGTCGGCAAATCCTTTGTGAAGTCGTCCGGGAGCGCGAGGGCGGAGCCCCGGCGGCCGACGGCCTTTGAAGTTTCCTTCTTATTTGAGTTTAAAGGCGGGGACTTAATCCAGGGGCGGCCTCGCAGTTTCCCACAGGGCTAAAAGGGGCCAAAAAACTGACTTTCTCCCCCACTTTTTTTGGAGTATAAGCCATCACCCCAGGCTCTAGTTTCTTCAATAAGTGCGCTGATGGCTGATTTTGTGGCTTAGGTTTTAAAGTACTTTCAGCTGTCAGAGGCAGGAAAGCAGTGGGAGGAGGAAGAAGAGGGCGAACATGAAGATATGAATCGGGACATGCTTGTCCACTTTGGTCACATCAGTCACATATAGGTCAGCTGTTTGGTTCACTGCTACATATATTTGAAATAAACGTATCAAACATGGCCCTACCCACACTTTATGCATTTTTTTATTATTTCAAAGTAGATAGGGCCACATTTAGTGACTCAAAAATAGATCCATGCCTATCACTATTTATTAAATGTAGTAAACAGTTTCAAAAAAAGATTTTCACACATCCTGTTCGTATTGCTAAGACCAGACTACTTTATTTCTGGTCTAAATAATTTGCAAACATGACACCTTTCTTTTTATAAGATAAACCTGCAAAACCATTTTTTAGCTTTGCATCTACAATAATTTCCACATCCTAAACTACATTACTTATATATTCCCTAAATCTTTTTTGCAAATTTTGTTTTGTTGTTGAAATATTAAGTACCCTGTGAGAAAAAAATTGTTTTGGGAGGAGGTCTCAATGTCTTTTTTTTCTGCAAATGTTAGATTTTATAGTTATGAAGATATTTCTCAACTAGTACAAGGGTAATGACACCCCTTGAACAGTTTTATATTTGATCACATTACAGCCTCTATCTTTTCTGTATTTAATTTGTGTCTTATTCTGTAAACAAGCACACAGTAGTGTATGAATTTGAATCTAGAAAAAAAGGTGTTTAACTGTTTCAAACAAAACTGTGGTGTGCATTTCTATTTATCCATCTATTATACAACATCCCTTAATAAAATCCAGTTCAACAATTAGTTTTGATAACTTGTTAAAAAGAGTCACCCTGTGTGTTTAACTTTAGGAAAACTGTATAACGAAGACAGAGGAACAGGCCAAGGATAATAAGGATATAAAACAATATCCTAAAATTTAAGCATATCATTAAACATAATTGAAAATGAAAAGATTATTACAAACTTACAAAGATGAAGCCATTCGACCTCTCTGACTAGAAGTGCAGTGGAAGTATTGGCTGATATTGACTGTATAAGGTCACGTGCTGCATTGTGCTGATATAATAACTATTAGTTTTTTTCTGCACAAATCTGGTAATAATGTAAGAGTAAAAAAAGGAAAAGATGTGTTGAGTGAAACCACAAGAAGTCCTGCTGAAAGTTTGCCACAATGGAAGAGAAAACAGAAAAACCTCTGGCTTGATGTCTTATTCATAATGCAAAGTGTCGAATCTTATGACTACTTACCCATACATCAGATTTAGGAGTCTAAACATGATTAATTGAGTTTAATTATATAATATTGTTGAAAGTGTAAATGGAACCTTACTTTAGTTTGAGTAACACACTTATCAGGAGTGAGGGAGGGGCTGAATTGCTCACCTTTTGGATTGTGCTGTGTGGTTAGACATGTGAAGCTAAAAGGAATGCAGCTGGGGGAAAAAATAACCACCTTGGGGATGTTTTTCTAAATTGTCTATAAACTTGGCCAAAACTATGCTGGTAAACCAGGATGTGTGCTTGCAATGGGTCTGTCCGCTGCATGTGTTCCCAGCTGCCCCTCTCCTTCCTCTGTGAGCAAGTCTAAAAAGGCTGGCCTTTGAACTACTCTGAAAGTGATCCATGCTGTATGGACGGAGCAGATGTGGCCTAACCTGATTTGGTTTCAATACTTCCCCACAGGAAGTTCACAAAGCCAGCAGGTCCTCCTTTGTTATGTTAGTCATTTTTCTCGGAGGGCCACTGGAGCCTCATGCCCCCCCCCCTTACAGTTGTTGCTGTATCATTTGCTTTCCCCCCTTCATCAGAGCTGTTTTGCAGATTATTCAATATTTCAGCAGCAGCTGTCATATTGTTCAGTTTCTTCCAGGAATATGAAATTTGATTTTTTTTTCCCCCTCAACTTTTCCATTACAGATGTCTCTTATCTCTACTAATCATTCAGATTATTTGCAGCTCTTTGTCACAGGTATGCCCATTTTAAGCAAACAGATTGGCTTATTCAAAGACACTTTTAACTTAACACAATATTTACATTTTCTTTTACCATATAAATAGATAAATAATCATTTTACAATTTTTTACAGTTAAAAATAACATGAAATGGGTTCCTTTTAAACCTTAAATTACTTAAAGTTTTGTTTCAAGATAGTAGAGCTATCGGTGTTACAGAGAGCGTTAACGAAAGGTTGCAATCTCTTAGGAAATTTTAATTTGGATTATTTTACTAGATTTAATGTTGAGCTTTTGCTTTTAAAAGCTTATGGACTACATTACCCATCAAGAAAGATACGTCATATCCGATCACGAGCGGAAATCTCTGCTGCATTCACAGTCTCTGGAATAGTGTGACACGGATTCTTTGAAGTAGGAAGAATTCACTAACTTATGAATGCGACGCAACATCTCTGTAAAAGAAAAAATAATATTAATTTATAAATGTTAGAAAGTATAAGCAGCATAAATGTAAGGGTATTATAATGAGCAGAATACAACATAACTAAATGAATAAAAACAGGTAACTCCTTTTTCCGGGTTTTGGATATGTTACTTGAATGCCTCACGAGTAGAAACGGTTTCAGTGAAACAGGGAGGAGCCGCTGGTTATAAGCGCAAATGTAAATACATAATTCTGGACTTTGGTGAGTTTATTTTATATTTGAATCGGGGTTTTGGCCATTATTATTATAATATCAATCTATTTTTTACCACGATAAAACCATTCTCTGCCGGTAGGCAGTGGTTTTGTTATTGAAAATTAGGGCCTTTCAGAGATAGGCCTTGTTAGCCTCGATAGTAGTAGTGATGCAAACGTTAAAACACATTAAAAAACAAAAATTGGATTAATTTGTTCTGACAGAAATCAATCTGCTCGATTATTAGGGGTGACTTGGTTCACGGTAATTTTAATTTAAGCCGTTGTGTGGGCTAGGCTAATGATTGCTAGCTTCCCTGTGCTGTTAGCATCTGGTGTTTTCTGCTCATTAGCCGGAAGCTTATTAAAAAATGAAGTGATTCTTTTTTTGGTTCAGGAAACCTAAGACCACTGTTTCACTGTGCGAAGAATGTACAAGAGTAGTTTTCTTAAAATAACATTTTATCTATGCTTTGTTCTGACTATTCCCCCCAACAGGCTGTACTTTAAACCCAATAAATGTAAAATACAGTTGGGTTAGCTTTGTTTTATTATACATTCCGTGGTTAGCACATAACATTGTGTTTCCTTTAACTACCCTGTGCTAGAGATGAACAATATAAACCTCAATCATTATTACATCCATTTATAGTGGGTATTATAACGATTTTAATGAGTAATATAACTTAAAGAGATTTTAGGGATCAATTTAGCACTTAAAGCAGTCTAGATCAAATAAATCAGGTTGTAGGAATTGCTGAATTCCTCCTCAGACAACATCTTATCTATAACAGTAAATTAGTAGTATTGTTGCAATAAAACACACTTTGATCGTTTGAATTAAATTTCTAGCTCTATATAAAATATGAATTCTTTTTTAAGAGGATTGATATAACTTTTGCTAAGTTATAGTACTATATAAAACTTTTAATGAATCACACCAGATGTGAATACACTAGTACTATCGTTTGCGTATTGCTTTTTTTAATTGTTTAATTATTTATTTTTTTAATTACATGGTGAATAACTTAATATTATAGTGATGTTTTTAAGCTTCAGTTCTTATCCTCCTATCTGAGGGTGAGTTGGGATGTTTCTCTAAATACTGTTCATAAATCTTTTTTTAACCCTGTTCAGAAACATAGGGACAGAGCCATGGTGCCCTATGTCTTAGAATCTAAGAAATATGTTTCTGTTACTGTGGAATAAACACACAATTAGTATTTATTTTTGTCAAACTTGATAATCCCCCCCCCCAACTTTTATTGTCATTACACTGTCGCAAGTACAGAGCAACGAAATGAACTCTCTGATTTAACCCATCCCCTTGGGGAGCAGTGGGCTGCCATTGTGTGGTGTTCGGGGAGCAGTATGGAGTTAAGGGTGTTGCTCAGACACCCACAGAGTAAGGCTCGAACTTAGAACCTCAGGATTCTAAGCTAATCCCAAAGTTGATAAGCCTGTAGTGATGGTTTTCTTTTAAGCAATCAGATTTATTTTTTTTATTAAAATGACTGGCTGGCCAGTTTGATTATACATATAATTTAGAATTACAACAATAATTCTTTTAATCTTTGGACATTTTCCTTTTTGAAGGCAATTTATTGAATATTAATTTGTATAAATCAGTAACACTTTCAACTTAATTCCTTGGTGTAACAAAAGGTTTGAGCAAACAGTCCAAACCAGTCCCACTTTATGCAAAGGAGACAGCAGTGGATCAAAGTTCTGTACAAATTTATAATCAGAATAACTGAAAGCAGATCATGTTTTTTTTTTTTTGTTGCTAATGCTGTTTATATTTATACATATTCTGTTAATCACAGAATGACATCTCTTGTCAACCTGTGTGTGAACTACTATTCTTAAGGCTACCATGTTTATTTTCACTCAAAATGCAGCAATTAGAAAAAAGTTTGCATTAAACATATAGCCACATTTTTTCAATTACAACCGCTAATGTCAATGTTTTTTATTGAAATAGATTGACCTAAAACTGAATAACTGCAAAGTGTAAGGACAATGTTTCTACAACATATTATCTAAAAAGTGTGGTTTGCAATTGTATTGGTCTGTAATAAACAAATACTCTTTTGAGCCACTTCACAGCTGCTACTCCTGTAGTGTTTCTCTAGCAGTTTTGAACATGGAAAGGCTGATATTTTTGCCAAATTTTCTTCAGTAAACATCCCAACCTCAGCCAGAATGCATCTGTGAATATCCGTTTTTAAGTGCTATGACATGTTGGCTTTTCTGTTAATTGCAGCATTTTGCATATGAGCTAAATGTTGGTCTCATCTGAGAGAAACACTACATCCCACATGGTTGCTGATTAAACTATTGTGTTAGATTTTGCTTTATCTTTATACCTGACCTTTGATCACAGGTGTTTCTTGGTCTGCATATTGCCCTTTGCTCTCTAATGTTCCAATCTATAAATTATCCTACGGATTTACGGAACATTTGAACACACACAGGTGAACTCTATTAGATAATTTTGTTATTTTTTTTTGGTCCTGTTTTCAATTGAGGGGTGTCAGATAAAGGTGCAGTTGAATATATTTGCACACTAAACCTTTCTTTTTGTTAAAGAAACTATATTTTTCTTTGAAGTTTGTATTGGATAGACTGATCAGCTTCTCATGGCTTTCTCTGTTTCAGGTTCGAGTCGAAGTTGGTCGTTTCTGAACAAGGATGATTGATTTACGAGCATGGGCAGAGTATGTTGTGGAGTGGGCTGCCAAAGACCCCTACGGTTTCCTTACCACCGTCATATTGGCTCTGACCCCGCTCTTCATCGCCAGCGCACTGCTGTCCTGGAAACTGGCCAAGATGATCGAAGCACGTGACCGCGAACAAAAGAAAAAACAGAAGCGTCAGGAAAACATAAACAGGGCCAAGAGGAAGAAAGAATGAGTCCGCTGACAGGGCATCGAAGAAACAGGAGAAGCAGTCCTTAGTCCAAATAATGACATGTCCCAGCCCCACTGTAACGCAGGGTTGGTACGCATCATGTCCAGGAGGAAGGACGCTGGCCACATGGACTGGACCGCTGCGGTGGACAGTGCTGCCCGGACGGGACTCGTCCCTGTGGGACTCTGGTCAGCAGGGGGCCCAGTGCTCCTCTGCTTCCCTTTTTTTTTATACGGTTATCTGCTTTAACTTGGCAGCTGTTCAACCCCCTCACATTCCACTAACACCCCTGTTCTGTTGAAATAACCTGATGACAACGATGATAATTATCATAATGAAAGCTTTCTGATTAATAAAAAATGTCATGGTTGGTAGAATGCAATGTCTTTATTCATTCAATAATTAGTGCCTCTAAAACGGAGAACGCACATCTCTACAACGCTGAACCAGTTTTCATATCACAGATGCAGAAGTTATTCATTCAGCTATTACCAGGTCAATATACATGAAGTACAAATGGGTACCTGTAGGCAAATAATGGAACAGTACAGAAGCGTAACTCTTATTTTTATGAAAGACAGGAATTTATTACGAATGATAAGCATCTTTTTATATTATGAAGATACCCCCTTTTTTTTATTTGCTCCATCAAAACTATAGCCTCGTGAGACCATCCTGATCTTGTGAGCTGTCAAGATTTCACTCGCTAATCAGTCTGGAGACTCTCCGTTGAAGAAAATTTGGAGCCGTTCACCAAACGAACGTCCAATCAGCGTTGGCTTTGAGGCGGGTTGAGGTGTGACGCAACGAGAAGCGCGACAGTTCAGTCTAAAGAACATGGCAGCTTCAGCCGGTGAAACTAGCGTTTGGAGGCTTTTCTCAGAGGAAAAGATGTTTTTGCTCTTCTCCCGACTGGTTTCGGCAAGAGTTTGATCTATCAATTGGCTCCTCTTCGTCGCTCTGTTACGTCATATGCTTCATTGATCTGACTGGTTTATTTGGCCCGTCTATCACCAACATAGGCCAATCAGCTAACCAGTATTTTCGCCCCTTCCCAAAATTACTTCTGCGGAAGGTTTCCAGATGGATATGCGGAGCAAATCCATCTGGCGGAGTCAGGTTATTAAAACTATAAGCCATTTCACTTTTTTTTTTTTTTTTTATAGCTTTCTAAATTAATTCTGTGTTTAAACTATCCAAAGCTCATAATCATGGTTTACAAAAGGCACCAGCCATAGCAATGAAATCCTTTTTTCAGGTATTTTGTGAATCACTGATCAGCTGATACTATTTCTGGTATTCTGTCACGGATGTGTTTTTCCTCAGGAGTAAAAAAAAACCAAACTTGAAATCCAATAAATATCATGGAAATAGATAAACCCTATTTAAGTTCAAAGCATATATTTTTATCTGAACTTATGAAAAAGTGGTTTTGAAGTGCATGTTAGCTGTTTTAGATTATATAAATAAGTTAAAAAAAAAAGGAAACTGAATTTGTCATAATTTGGTGGTTTGATTAACAGGTAATGATTTATGCATGTTGGAATTCATTTCAGGTTCTACACGTTCTGATTTATCTAAATTTGCTGCAGGTAAAGAAAATGACACCCAGACAAGCTGTGCACTAGTCCTTCATCACATTGCTGAAACAGAGCTCAGACTCAGCACTTTGGATCTGGTGAACGTTCAAAGTGAGCTTGATAAATATTTGTAACTCAAAAGTCTAAATACCGAGAAACAATGAAGAAGGTTAGGTTAAAAAATCATGGATGTTTGAAATGGAAGATTAGTAGGAACCTGTTTAGCTGTACACCACCCCTCTGCTATAAACAATTGATGCATCATCTATAGAAACCCTGTTTTTAAATCATTAAGGCTTTTAAAAAAGAATAAATAATGAATAATCCCTTCAAATGAGGTTCCTTTGAACATAAACTTTCTCCCAGCTTCTCTGGTGGCTGACCTGGTAGGCAGATTATTTAATCTGTAACAGACTGGTTAATGTTTTAGTTAAGTGGACTGAAGACACTTCTTAAAGTCAGCTTTACGTTAAGGCTGGACGACCCGCAGCAGAATAACTTGGCAGCCAAGTTATGCTGATGGTGCTGCATGATGGATATTTGTGTGCATCTCTCAGGATTGAGGACTGGATCCTGACTAAACCTACTCCAAGCATAGGAGAGCAAAGGCGAAGAAAACCCCCATGATTCACAGCTGCCTACAGACATCAAGTACCACAGCAGACAAACAGGCCTTCTGCTACAGCCAAGGATTTCTCATTTGACTCATCAGTCTAAAGCACCTGCTGTGTCTTTCTGCTACAGACTTCCTGATTTGTTTTTTGTGTGCGTTTTGTTTTTTTACTTGTCTGAAGATTAAGCTTTTTGGCTTAATCTTCAGACAGCTTCTAATCAGACTTTGGACATCATACCATGACTTTGTATGTTAAAATATTCATCACAGAAAGCCCCTGCTGTTGGAGCCGCTCTGGTAAAGATGCATGACCATGATCCTGGATTTTATCTGGGTATATCTAGGCCCAAAGTTATTCATATCCCTGATATCCCGACATCTAGGACATCCTGTCATTTTAACTGTATGCTTCTTGTGGCTGGAAGTATTATTAACCTTTTACTGAGACCCAACTGAGCCACTCTGCATTCACAGAATCAGCAGGTAGAGAATCTAAGAATCAAAACCCCAAAGGTACCGTAATTACAAAAAGAACAATAATGGGTTGAATGCTCTAATGTAGAAGAGTTTTCTACAATACTGAGAAGGGATATGAGTTTTTATAAGCATTCTTTTCTTTAAAATTTAAACATTCTTTTTATTTTTTACTGTTTCAAGATTATTATTTGATTCAAGATTATCATATGAGAGATGTCTGACTCATATCTTTCAACCTGAGGATAGCAACAGCAAATGTCAAAGCTTTTCATCTTTCACTATATTTTGTCTGTTGAATTTGCATATTGTTGATAGGTTAAAAACAATTATTTTCATTTCTGAAAGCATTTCATTCAAAATAGGTTAGACACCCAGTCAATGCCCCAAAAATGTGTATTTTATTAAAGCATTTTTGCTCTCCAAAGCTTTTTTCACAAATACGATATTTAAACATTGGTTTGTTTGAAAAGGTTAGAAAACATTTAAGCCCTGAGGTTCTACTTTATCTGGTTTACAGATCATCTTCCCATCCAGAATGAAGGAAAAAGTTGCCATCAGACAAAGAAGATGTATTAAATAATTCTTCCTTGAATTTATATAAAAAACTTTTTCTTTTAACAAGAACCCTGAAATATATAAAACCATGTGAGAAACTAAAAAGTGTTTAAGATCGAATCACTGTAATAAAAGAAGTAACCTCCATGTAATTCGAAAGTTTAATATAAAATCATTTCACACCCTGAGAAATTGCTTAAATGGGTTCAAATCCCAAGTTCAAACTTTTTTGATAGTGAGCTTTGTACAAACAAAAACAAAATAGAGAGGGAAAGGAAATAACAGTGTAAAAGTCTATCCTTCTTTGAGAAAAACCCTGATATTAATGCTTAAACATTGCCCCAAAAAACCTAAACAATACAACAACCAGTACAATGCTTGATGAATGCTGTTTTACTAGCTGATTCATTACAGGACGGTATAGGCTTTTTAATTTTTACAAACACTATGAAATAAAAGGCAGCAGAGTTGTGATACTGGACGGATCACTATGCTCAATAATGAATTATACAGCTGCAACCGGCCCTTTAAAAAGACTTCATGATGCCCAACTCACCAGATATTACAATGACTTTGACACCTCTGGCCTACTTCATGTAGCTTTAAAAGGTTTTATTAAATATAGACAACTTCTCAGTCTTTTTAGCCCTTTGTAGTCTTGAAATAAAAAAAAGGTCTGACATTTTTTACTTTAAAAATATATATATTCTTTTCTGGTTTTATTTTGTTATAGTTGATACTTTAGGTTAACACACGACTCTCCCAAGTATTCAGAAATTTTAAAGAGTACACGTAAAATATATGTTGGTGTGATAAAAAAAACAAAAAAAAACATAAGAAAGCCAGACAATATTTGAAAGTCTTTTAAGTGTCTGATAAAAATATTTATTAAAACAAAAGAACTTCAAGGGGTTAAATAAAGAGCTTGTGGAGGAATATTAAGCTTGTCAAAGAAGTCGATGTCTCATGGAACTGGTGTCAGAACAGATGAGGTCAGGTTTTCAGCTAACAGTCATTGAAGTATTCACAATGCACACCACCAAAGTATAACATCTCATACATTCCTTTTTTTTTTTTAATATTCTTTTCTCAACTAAAATCTGCAGTAGAGTTATTCATATTCCTGTCCTGGATAAATAGTTTCTTTTTTAACCTCCATAAAGCTTTCTGTGTTCCACCTGACTTTATTCCAACTGTTTTATAATTAAAGTTTGATTGAATGATTGCTACACACAATTAATCCATCATATCCTTTGAAGATGGCTAACTCCCATTTATTTCAGTTGTTATGGACACAACGCCTCCCTGCATGAGGTCAGCCACTTCCTGAAGAGAAGAGTTATAGTTTCAACCTGAATTGCTTTGAATGGAGAAAAAGTTTAACTTTGTTCACCTCTGAACAAAGTTATTCATAAATATTCTTTTGGACCGTATGTGACAATGCACAGCATGTCTCTGCCTCTGTGGACGTCTCCACCTATTTCTTTGAGGTGGGCATCCAGGAACCTGGCTGGAACTTGTTTGCAGTGCTGGTTGGCTCCTGGCTGAGCTCCTCTTTGCCAAAAATGGCGGTGGATGCATGGCCCTTGGCTACAGTCCTTGTAGGAGTGGCCACCAGTCCCTCCTCGTATTCCTTAGCCTGAAGGGCCAGATCTTTTTCCTCCACCTCTATGGCCTTCAGCTTAATCTTCTCCCTCTGGGACTCATTCAGCATCAGCTCCTGGGTAACAAATCAAACACATTTTTTTGAGCTTTGGATTGATTATCAGGGATGTTTAAAAGCTTCTGAAATCGTTGTTGAAATTAAAAGAAGTTAATTTTAATAGTGCCTCAGCTACTTTACAAAGATGCACAGGTCAGAAAAAACATGACCATCGATGTGTGAAATGATTACCTTCTTATAAAAGCACCTATTAGTTGGAAGGATATAATGAGAAGCTATTTTGTGCTCAAAATTGCAGCTAAATTAAGATGGGAGTTAAGAGTCTGCAGCAGTTTTATATGCATCAAAAGTAAAGCCTATACCTTGATAACATGATAATGTTTCATTAGTGGATGTAAAAAGATTTCAGATTGATTGAATAAAGAAATTAAAAACTAATTTGCTGTTTTAAAAAACAAAGATAACCTAACAGTTTCAGTTTGATGGTGCACAGTTGAACAATAGGAGCAAACCCCAGTTATTCTTTATAATTCAACTCCATAATAGAAATGTTCAGGCACAAAAAATAAGGGAAATGATTTGTTCTTGCATTAATCCAATAATATACCTGATCTCCTCTTCTGGATCATTGACACTAAAGCAGTGATCTCCATGATAAAGAACCTGTTTATACCTCCTCTACCATCACTATAAACTGGTTAGAAACGGTAGAACTTGGTAAACTGAAAAAAGATAGGAGGCCTTTATAACATATTATCGAAATCAATTTAAATCCTGGAAATGTTTATACAACAAACAGCCCACTGGTGGAATAGTTACCCACTTGAGCCCTGCATCTAGTGTCCAGAGTGATGTTAGCCTTGCCCTGTCTGAGGCGGCCAAAGAGGAAGGGAGGACTGGACATGATGCTGCTGTGTGCTGGCATAACTGAGGGACTGGGGGGGAATCTGTGGCCAAAAAGCTCTGCTTTGGGGAGGGAGACAAACATACTGAGCTGCTTTTCCAGCCTGTTAATGACAGGATTTAATCCAATCAATTTATGTCGATTTGGACCAGGAAGAGAGGGAGCGTGACAAGGGGCAGGGTAATGTGCTGGGAGTGGAGCTTTGGCCGCATCTACGTCGTCCAGCTGTCGATGGCAGAAAATTGGAAGAGAATGTTCTGGCAAAAAGAAAGGCAGGGGATGGCACCGGCTACTGGCAGGGACAGAGGACGAAGAGACAGAGAGAGTGCCTGAGCACCGGCCTTCCAAGGGATTTCCTATAGACCCACATTTCCTTGGCCAAATCATTTCCAGAATTTGTGCATTTAAAGAGCAATTTACCCAGAGAGAGGAGCGCGGCATGCATGAAAAAACTGCATGCTTTTCCTGTTCCCATCTCTGAGAATGCCAGAAATAAAGCACAAAGAGCTGAGATGGAGGCTTGTATTGGAAAAAAGAAGTAAAGTGGGACACAGTGTCAGTGAGCCCCCTTATATTCGCAGGCTGTTTCTGCTCAGTCTCACCATCAATGCACTTCAGCTGCTGTTTATTTTAACACCTGTCCCCTAAAGTTCTAGGATTCAGTATGATAAAACAAATCAAAGCTTTTTTTTCTTTCCAACTCTGCATGTTTCCACTCCCTTGGAGCTAGTCCCCAAGAGTCCAACCATCAGCACAGAGGGGAAACCAGAGGGGGGTTTACCTCAATGGAGGGAGGCTCCTTCCGTCTGCCTCGAACCCAAGCTGCAAGCACAGAAGACAGGAGGAAGGGGAAATAAAACACGAGTGAGAACACCCACACAACAATACGCTGCACAAAAACCTGCAGTCACATTTAAAGGCTGCGGCTCCACCATCACCGTGTAGCAAAAGAGAAAGCCTCCAAGCTTGCAGTGGGATTGGATGCAGGCTTTATGTCACTTTGTAAACTAAAGAGAAACATACAGAGATACTGAGCCTTGCAGAAGTATTCCGTCTCCTTGAACTTGTTCCATGATATGTGACCTACAATAACAGACTTTGTTTTATATGACTTCGATTTTTGAAGTATTTCATAATTTGGAAGAGTACGGAACAAAAACCTCCAACTTTTACAAATACAAATCAGAAAAGTGTGGGTTTTTATTTGTTTCTTTAGTGCCAAGAGACTGATGTCCTTTTTCTTATTTTGAATGTAAATTGACTTATTCCATTGGCAAAGGGACTCACCTGCTCAATTCAAGAAAATAATCCACTTATTTTAAGAAAAATTGACTTGGATGGATTTTTTTTCAGTGCTGAGCCATTTCAGTGGAGCTCTGTCTACGAATCAGGTGGTTTTTCTGCTGGAAGGTGAACCTTTGTCCCAGTCTCAGGTCTTTTTGCAGCCTCCATAGGACTATCCTTCATTTAGCTCCAGCTGTCTTCTTATCATCTCAGCCCTCCTCTAAAGAATAAAACAGCTCGATGAGGCCACTGTGTTTCATTGCACGGATGCTGCATTCCTGTCGATGAGCAGTATTAGTTTTCCTCATTTGGTATAAATTTAAATTTGTTTTTCCAACTAAAAACCTGTATTTGTGGTTGGAAACCAATAATTTAACTTTACCTGGAATTAAAATCCTTAATTGTGTAAAGAAAACATCAAATTAAACAATTAAGTTGCTGAGGAAATATCTACCTCAAGTTAAAGGTAATATTGCTCTAACTCACATGAAAATGGGTGTGGCTGCTAAACCATGAGCCTGGCTGCTGTTGCAATTAATCCAGTCTACTCAATGTCCCAGAATATGAATGTCTATGACAGGAGGGCAATTGGTTTTCTAGTGAACATGTCTCTGATATCAAATCGAGAGAATTATTAAAACCTCATTGCTACAATCGTAAAAACTAAAGATTCAGCTCTAAAATATCATGAATTATAAAGCCTATCTCTGTAGTAAGATCATATGAAATTGTTATGCATTTACTCTATGAAATAAAGATTATTTTAAAATTTTGTCAATGTACATTTATGGCTCAGAATATCCTATTTTTCTTAACTTAATTTAAATGAGAAAGATCAGTTTAAAGTTTTAAGTTGGTTTAAAGTATTAATTTTTTCCCTGTTTTGCATTTAGGTCCAAAACCTTAAAGTCACTGACAACAGGACCTCCCGCCTGGGTTGGGGGCTTCTGCAGCTCCTCCAGAGCCACCACTTCTCTTTTAGCTATTCTCCAGTTAATACCCTCCTTTCCTAGGTTTGCAGTTTCACTCTGTTCAATGTCTAGCATATTGTTTTCTAACTTTTATTGCTTTAAACTTCACCACAGCTTCATCCCCGACCTTTCTGCTGAGTTCCTTGTTCTTGGTGATGCTGTTTGTTCACTAATCCTATCCACTACTACCTACTCAGATCGGTTGGGTGCGGTTCTACAGCGTTCTCTGGCCCTCTTCTGTCGCTCTGACGACAGAGTCTGACAACCGCCATCAGTCAACGCTAATGTTGTGTTACTTTTTGGACTGTGGAATCCATCTTGCTATTAATGACCCCACCCTAACTGAGATGGTAGGCCTTTTAGGAGCAGCTGGATTTAAACTGAGATTCAATTTAAAATTTCAACTTAATCTATTACTTTCTTTCAAGTTTTCATGTCAATAATGAATGCAAAACAGCAGCCCAGGCCGCAGTCCAGGCCGGTAAGCCCCACATCTGGGAAGAAAACGCTTCCATCATCCTCCATCTCCAGCTTTCAAAGCATAGCCTCTGTCCCTGCTTTCCCTCTACAGCAGAACTCCCTCCACCACTCGCCCTTTCCTCTCCCACTGTTGAAGGAGCTCCATTTTGGCTGAACAGAGCAGGTTAAAGGGAGCCAGAAAGAGAGAGAGCGCAATTTTGCAACTCTTGCTCCAGCTAGCATGGGGATTCTAGGCCTCTTTCATCCGTTTCTTATTTGCATCCTGATGAAAATGCATGAGGGATGGGGCGAGGCAGGATGAGGGGGTTTAAGGTGGATAAAGCCAGTCTGAGACACAGGGAACAGTTTGTATCCAGTTGTGAGACATGTGAAACACTATTTTATGGTACGGTTGTATAACACCGGCAGAAGGCTTCTTTGATAAACTCGTTCCCAGCCCCCATCCCATCTTGCAAGATGGAGAAAAAAACCCAAATCACAGGATTAGCCGAGGTCCCAGCAGAAGAAGCCATGAGGCTGCCATTCCCTTTTATTTTTGCTGCATTTTCTGGGGGTTTTTTTTGTTGAAATTTGTGATAAGTACAATATGCAGCACAGATTCTGCAGTCCAAACTTACCTTCCCACTCCATCGGAATGCTGCCCTCCATATATTCATGCTCTGCAGGATTGGCTGCCTCCACTATCCGCTTGGCACGAACATGCCTCCCTGGAAAGGGACAAAAAAAAAACAACAAAAAACAAAACGATTCAAAAGACAGCAAGTGTGATTTGATGAGGTGTTCGCCAATGTTGCACACGAAATGCAAAGGGATATATAAACACAAAGCAGTCCAGACACAATGCTCTCCAGACACACAGACGAATGCACGCAGGGATGACAGCGCTGTGACAGGCCATGGATGATTACCCCGTGGCCCTCGGGCCCTTCTCCTCAGATCTCGCTGAGTGGCTCCAAATCTGGGCTAAGCCTTTATGCAAATCGGCCTTTCCTTTAACCCAACCAACCACGGCCCCCCTCCAACAGCTACCTCTTCCAATCACAGCGCCCTGGCTAACAATGCCCTCCAAAATCAACATCAAGCACAGCAGGAGACAAAAGAGGTCAGATATCAGAGGGAACAGGAGAGGCATGAGCTGCTTGGAATATTAAGTGCTCCTTCTCCCTATCTGTATACAGCACGACGCTCGCTGGCAGCAAGGCCACTGCCAATTATTTTGGTCAAATCTGCTGATTAGGCAGGTTTAGCTGGCACGTGGTGACATGGAGACGGCAACCAAAGGAGAGGGAGGGGAACTACGGAGACAGGAGAAGAAAGAGCCCATTTTCGTAGGGCCTCCTTTACCGTCGTCATGTTCAAAAATAACAAGTTCTGTGTTTCCATAGTTTCTCCTCTAGCAGGTAGTCAGATGTCTATCTGTGAAAGGATGAGGCGAGGAGGGAGGAGGAAGAAGCAGAGAGAGAGAGAGAGAGAGAGAGAGAGAGAGAGGGAGAGTGATGATGCATGGCGAACATGGCTTGAAGGAGAAAAATGTATGGGCAAGGAAAACAACACGCTCCAAAACACAGACAATCTGTCAGGATTCCATCACAGTCGCTCCGCAGCTCACTGGACATGGACAAATAGAGACCAGCAGCACCACGTGCACCGCAGACTGATGGCCTTAATGTTTGCTTCAGCCATAACAGATAGCTTTGGCACTGGGATGGATAAACGATGGCCCTCCAAAGTGACAAACTGAGTTCTGTTTACGAGCCTTAGTTTCCCCCCCTTGAAAGTCAGCGCCTGTGCTTTTCTGTAATTATGTCTTGTGAGGATGCTTCTTTTCCATACTTTATCCACCCCGTGCAGTAATCAGGTCAGCTAATTAGGCTAGTAATGCTTTAGTTCTGCCTTGGTTCCCACCAGATTGAAGCTAAAGGGCCTAGCAGGCTCCAGCCCTGCATGTGGCTTCATGTCTCTGATATCCAAAACCCAGCTTTCTGTAAAACTAAACTAATCAGGATCAAAATGAACAACATGATCCTTAAATTAGCTAACAAGTAAGATCTTGGATGTTTCTTGAGAAACAAAATTCTAGAAGCTTTGCCTACATAGCGCAACCAAAACAAGTGCCAGCAAACAAAAGGCTGAAACTCTAGACGATTCTAAATTAGGCGTTTAACAGGTATGCTAATTATAAGCAGATCATATCCATATTTGCATCAGGAGTGGGTGGCAGCAGAATGTAATGGGAAAATTGCATCAAAGTCCCCTCATGTGATGTGCTTAGTGAGCTAATACCTAAATAATCTGCATAAAGAAGGGAGCTTACCTTTCTCTGCATCCCTTACCCAGGATTGTTATGACAAATACCATTTGTTTTGGATCCTCCCAGCATGTTTGAAATGGGAGGATCCAAAATGTGTACAAACTGTATTTGGATTTGAAATAGTTACAACCACAAACCTCAGTGTGTTTCATTGGGATTTGATGAGATAGACCAACACAAAGTGGGAAATTATCATGAATAGTGCATCTAAATTCAGTCCTTTAACCCTCAAGATTTATCTAGATTAAAAATGCAGCATTAGTGTCAGTGGACAAAAAGAAGCCATTTGACATTTAGTAGGCAACACAGCATACATTCCAATTCACAGGAAAAACAATCTAGGAATGACTAAAAAGTTCTTTGATTAAGCCTATTTACCCTTAATTTGAGAAGTTAGATGAGATTTGCCAATGGAATCAGTATTTTTACTCTTAAAATAACACAATTAGATAATATGCATGTGAAATAAGACAATACAACAGTTTTTTTTATTTCAAATGTAAAGTGTCTCACTTACCTCCTAAATTAAAAAAATGCAGTTATTTTAAGTAAAAAATGACTTATTTAGATTTCAGGTTTTTTTGCTTTGTTAAGCAAGGAGATCTGATTAAATGAGCCCAATGCTGAACTTTCATGCCTGCATGCAAAACACTGTATAGCCTAACGCTAATGCTTCACGAAAAGCTAAAACAATGGCCACAAATAAACATGGTATAGAGAGCATCATGCTGTAGGGCAGCGGAGCAGAGTTTAAGGGAAGAGTTTTTTTTCTCATGTTGGTGCAGCTACATTCCACATATAAAATACCAATAAGAGTATTTGTCAAGACAAAAATACATTCTGCATTCAAGTTATTTTGCAAAGAAGAATGTGCAAAAATATTTTGTGCAAAGAAGTGTTAAGGTGGTAGAAAACACCTGAAAAATACTTGCAGTTGTAGATGAAACAAATGTGGTTCTAAAAGGCAATAATTTAAGGGGCTGAATACAGAGCCATTCTATCATATTGAGATTTTTTTTTTTTGCGTTTAAAATGTTTGAAACAATGTAGCCTTTTGCTGCCATGTAGCTTTTTGCTTCATATTTGCAATATCAAAGTACTTTGTGTGGGTTGGTAACATTAAATTCAACTAAAATACCTTAAAATTAGAGGTGGTAATGGAAAAAAAAGGTTTACGAGGGGAAGATCCTTTTGCAAGACACTGCAGAAAGTGACACTGGATATAAACTAGATGCAACAGACCTTTGGAAGCTTTGGAGGCAGGACATTTGAATTTATATTTTTTGGTAACCAGATCTTAAAGATTTTAGATGCAAAAACAAAACAAACACATTCAAATGTCATTTAAAAGAAACTTTGACCAATCTCACATATTCAAATATTTAATATCTTGAAATTAAAATCTGAAGCAAATCTTACTTGTTTGTAAAAATAATATAATATCCAGAAGAATTGATAATCTACGAATAAAAAAAAAAAGGTATAGTAGCTAAATAGTCGTATGTTAATGATGTTATGTGATGTTATTGCTGGCACAGCCAATCACCAGTTTGCAGTCTATCCATCAGCTCCACAGCACTTTCTGCACCTTCCACAAGAGACACAGAGAGCTATGAAGGGTTTTAGGAGCTCACAATCTCAGCGGGACCCCTCATGACATGTCTGCCTCCTCATCATTCACTAGGGAGAAGCCTATTTACTAGGCAAATACACACCTGTACACACACACAAGCACACAACTGGCTAGAGAGCAAGGCAGATTAACCTGAGGGACAGGAGCGAGGACGCTGCCTCTTTACCGTGAAGGACAAACGCAGCGCCGCCTTGGAGAGGAGGGGGAGGGTCCAGCGGCAGGGAGGAATGAAACCCCACAGCATAAATATTCATGAGCCATCTCACCTGTCTGAGCACAACTCATCTGTGAGGCTGGCTGTGAATCCTTGGGGGAGGGGAGAGGAAAAGGAAGGGAGGAAGGAAGGATGCAGGAGTGGGATGGGATGGGTGAGGGGGGTTGCTGTTGCAGAGGTACCTCAATCCTTCCCATTCGTTAAAAGAAGACATGATGCGCTCGGAGGGCTGCTCCTTGAACCCTGAACACACCCCACTAAACTCCATCACCTGCTTCAACACCCACAGCCCCCCCACCCCCCAACAATCTCACACATCAGCTCCCCTGTGGGTACAGCTGGGGGCGGCCCGAGAGGTTCTTCACCTCTACAGCGTCATCCAAACATCTTTCTACGATCTATTTTGCTGTGCCTTGTTTTTCTCTGTACTCATTTTTTTTTCTTGCAGAAAAAGAAGTCAGGGGGAAAAAATGTTACTCAACAACAGCTGAAGAGATTCCTTGAAACTAACTGAAACCATCAGATTGAGCTCTGTGCACTTGATTCCAACAGGTAGATTATGTCACTACTGCCCTCCTCTAGCAGCAATGACATTTACATCTTTTAAAAACATCTTTTCATCTGTGTTGTACGAGAACAGAGAACAAGACAGCAGAATCAGACCCAGTCCCTTAGGTTTGTCCCTTGTCAGCCTCCAGCCTCTTCTTTTGAGGAGTACCAACAAGTCACTACACAATCCTGGCATTAAAAGAAATAGAAAAATACAAGAGTAGCCCAACAAAATAAATGATCTAGATAACCAGATAGACTCCCGTTCTTCAGGGTAGATATCCTGCATGTTTTAGATGTGTCCCTAACAACAGTGAGAGAGCCTGTTGAAGAAGTCATCGTCTGCATCTTGGACTACTTCCATGTTAAAACGTGTATCTTTGTGTTGGGCTTCAATTACAACCTGCCTGAAAATCAGAAGTGTGAAAGAAGTGTGGGCTCACTGTGCAAACTAGAAATTTGATTCTGTGTTGCCATCGATCCTGGAAGGACGTTAATATTATCCTGCAGTCTGTATTTCACCAAAGAGGGAATTCCAAAAAAGGGACTCACCTGCAGACAAGTGTTGCTGCATGTGCAACTTTTACCAAATGAGCAAAAGACTAGGAAACAAAGATAAATTAAGCTAAATATGCTAATATCAATATGTCAAGTCAAATTTTATGGATGTCCACTTTTTCATTTCCAATATGATACTAATACTGCAGCTTTGAGAATTTGCTGATATCGAAACTATCAGACATTTGCGATACTGGCTGATTGAATCCGATATCAGTTTTTTTGCTAATATCAGACCGATATTCAATATTATTATAGGATTGGGACATCCATATCAAATTCTCCTAAAAGAAAAAATAGAGGTATAAAAAGTAGTTTGAATAAACATTTTAATTTTTTCCCCCCTAAAATTGATTAAACATGAATTTACAGTCAATTTCAGAAGGCCTTCATAAGTGAAATACCAGGTTAAGTTTCCTTTAATGACTACTTCAACAGAAAC